ATCAAATTCTGTCCAGCTCAGGCGGGCCAGAATTCCGCATAAACCACGGCTGTCAAATTAAATAGCCGATTAATCGTATAGATCGATTATCCACACCTCGGAAAGACGACTGTTGCACACGAAATTTCGCGTTATCAAGTGGAAGTCGAAATATTTTCGTCGCTGCAAGAAGATAGGGTGAAATTTATATGAAAGCTGTTGAAATAGAAAGATGTATCGACAATTAACGTGGGATTTTTAAGTAAACAAATCGAAGAAAATCTTCGCTCTATTAATTAAGAGGATTGCAATATCGTACATTTAACAATGTCCAAACTTTTCCAGTGCAATTTAGAGAAGAAGAAAATGGTACCTGACACATATTATGTGTATCGAAATAAAAAGCTGCGACGTTTGAAAAATGCACTTTAAATGCGGTAAAACTTTCTCTGCGTTTAATTGCAATTCAGCTTTGATTATTTTTGAATAATCCTCTTTTGCTAAATTTGTTAAAACGACATTAAATTTGTTAAAAAGTAATTATAGTGTGTTTAATGATCTTAAATCGATTATGCTCGTTTGTTTCGTGCTGCCTAATATTCTTCATTAGAAGTAAACACCAAATTACCGCTAAATAACTATCTTTGTTAAAAATTCTACCTTTATCAAAAGTTGTAATTATTCCAAAATTTTCGTGAGTGAAGCCTAAATTTTTCACAAGATCCGACCGATAACGCGAATAATTAAAACAGAGGGGGAGAAAAGGTACACAGAGAAATGACACACTTTAAAAAAAACGAGGGAAACAAGCGAGGCAGATCGCGTTAATATTCGTTCGATAGCAATTACTATTCTTCCAGTTTAGCTGTCGTGTTGACCCGATTCCTCGTGACTGTTTTATTTATTTATCGTCACTCGGCTAACCTCGGCTCCCGTCCATTCCGATTTCATTTAGATATTTAATGGCGATCCAGACTTTAACGGTGACTCGAGCGCACTGTGCACCGCGAAACACGAAGCTCAATAACGATTTTTGTTGGTTAAATACCGTTCTACCTGAATTCGTTTAGAGTGACGTAGACACCTCTAATTTTTTCACCTATTCGAGACTGCATTAGAATTGTATAGAGTTCGATTTTTGCTTGCACACCAGCGACGTTATTTCCAATAATTCTATTAGCTCTCGAAAATAGAGAAATCTTCGAGACAATTTAAACACGCGAGAAATTTTGAAAAACCCTACAAGCAAATGTTACTATGGAAATATATACAAAAATTTTTCCGAAATTTCATTTAAAAAATTGAAGTTTTTCACATTTGGAGAGAAACTATATTTTTTTGTTCGCAGACTGTATACAGCCTCTTCGTGTGATGAAGTTAGAAAGAAAATTATCTCAATAGCATTTATAGGTTCGTAGATGTCGACTTGCAACAAGTTTGGTATATGACCTAATTAAAATTGCAAGACCGTCCAATTTTTCCCTCATTTTTAGAAAAAGAAATAGTACGTAAGAGATTAGAAATGCTACAATATTTACAGTAGCAATTTTTTACTTAATTAACCAAAATTTTGTAAAGAAAAAAAAAAGAAAGCATTCAGCAATAATACGGTCCCTTGTTTATTGAGAACAAACTGTATAACACTATTTTTGCATTCTTTCTTTAGTTCACCAATAAACACCTCGAGCAAAAATATATATATTAAAGCATCGTCAAATTTCGTTACATTTCCAAAGATATACTTGAATATTATACAAATAACAAGCTTTTGCAACGGTTGACAGTCTCCTTTCGTTCATTTTATACGGACAGCTTGAAACTGGAATGCTGACGATACGAGAAAAGAGTAACGTAAACCATGAATAAATCGCGAGAAATGTTTATTCGGTGCGAGTAACGTTATTAGCAATATTTTGAAATATTCATTGGTAATCTCGCCCTTGTTCCGTGGTATCCTTTCCCGTCTCATTACTTCACTTTATGCGCCGCATTTTTCTTCCTTTTCCACCGTAATAATTTTTATAGCAAGGTAATGGTATTTTCATCATACTTCATGGCGGAATGTAGAGAGTATTTTTATTCTTACATAAAGAATTCCGTAGGTTAATCGCTTGGGGGTTAAAACCAACCGTCCTGCATACACGGTGTTTCGTTATTGATGAAACCTCTGACGAACTTGTGTTTAATATCAAACTTTCTAAATTATACTGCTTCAAGTTTTTAACAAACCCAAATAATTGAATTTCGTTTCGTATCACGAAAATTGCCAAAGTTTCCAATCTATCTAATAATTTCAATCAGAAATATCGAAAATCACGATGTGATTCTGTACATTTTGTATTTTACTTAATATTACATATTTATGTTAACTATTCCTTGATATTGAAACTATCGTTGAAATAACACAGATTAAGTATTCAATTAAAATTTCACCTTACACACTTTTCACTTGAATTTCTTTAAACTCGCAATGTCCTAATTTCCGCGTACTTGGAATATTGCACTAGGTGCCGTCTGAAGACTGAATGTATTGCGTTGAGAGTCTGACTGAATCTTTAATATTCCTAATGTAACTGATGGTCTGTGTACTAACACTCTGTGGTCTTAAGCTAAGTCGGCCTTCTTATCGAGTCGTCCCTTCTCCAAATCTTCTAAAATTTGAAGAAGGGATGCGAAGGGAGGTTCTTAAACTTACTAAGTGACCAACCCCGTATCACCCCCTTCCATTGCGCCCGGAGTGCGTCACGTCCTTGGAGCAGGGGTGACGAAGCTGGTCCTTGCTGGACGGAAATTTGACAACAAGGGGGGGAAACCCGGCCAGTCAACTCTGACTCTCCGACACGTTCGGAAGGTCAGGTACCGAGAGGCCTCGGTAATTGCATCGGTTTCGAAGACCCTTTGGGGGTGACTTTATGATACCTTGCCTTACCGACTGAACAATAGCCTATTCTTTAATATTTGAGAAATTCTACGTGCCGCATGTTGGCTGCAGACCGGTCTGCTAAATTAAAAATAACGGTTTGCTGAATCGTCCCCTTGCTGTCCTAACAATAAGAATAATTTACTAACGCAAAAAAGGTACTGAGAAAATCCAGCATTGTATACACACTGTTTCATAATGGCGAACGTTTGATATTCGAAAGGTCGAAAGAAAAAATCAGCAAAAATGGTAGAACGCGGTGCATTAATTTCCCGAATAAATCGAATCGTATTAATCGTGATACACGGTATAACTTCCCGTAGGCGGGCAGAGCGTTGCTATATAATTATAACGAAATGTTGCAACGCGCCAGATTGCAACAATTATCGTCAGTGGCTAATTAACAAAGGACCGAAGTAAATCATTGTCTCCGCGCGCTATCGTTGCGCGACGCGTACACAGCATACGGAAAATCGGAGTGCATCGGTATAGAAGCTAATTATCGTTAAGCGGCGACTTGAAATGGCAGGGAGAAAATCGATGTCACCGGTCTTAAAATTACAAATAACTATATCCGATTGTCGCGCGAAATTGTAATAAATGTCCTCAAGTTATTGCGCGCGGCGTTAATCGTCGAATACTTCTCGCGTACAGCGTGACATTCCGCGACAATAACCGCGCTGATTATTCCGGCGTACTTAGAATTTCATTTAATCGCCCGAACGTACTTTATTCCGCAATTTTCTATAATTCAATCGTGTGAATTATGGAAATTCAATTTGACGCATTAACGGTTACGAATTTCGCGTGAAAACTTCTGTTCACGGGGAATTTCACGAGAATACGTTTATGGAATCTGTTTAATTCTAATACGCTGTCGTATTAATTTCTTTTATTATCGGTGTTTACCAGTCTCGTTAGATACGATTATTGTGTGGCTGTATTTTAATACTTTTGACTTATTGATTATCGTGAATTATCGATATCCTATGATACTTCGACCGTGGTATCTGAATTTCTCACTGTGAGGTGCGAAACAATGAAATTTTAGCGTGTTTATCGACGGAAACGGGAGAAATTTTAAAGGATATTCGGCTTTCTGGAAAATTCAAGAAAAGCTTATTGAAAGAATAACATCGAATCCTTGAAAGATAGTATACAGGATTTTTCAGCCTTCGTTCTTTTCCCCCAATTCACTTTTCTTTAAATCCCATTATTCTACACGTTTGAACGTTACTCTTTCTTATTCCGTAAAACGGTTCGGTGTAACATTAAATTCGGAATATTCCTAGAAATATAGCGGAATCGAAATTTTCTCGTCGCGCTGCTGTGACCATTGCGCCTCGAGGTTTATCCATAATCTTCTCCGAGTCTATTCAACTCGACGAGACTCGCGAAGCAAGTTTTAGGACTTCTTTAAGAAAGGGAACGACGCTGAATACTTCAACCGATCACTTTCGTCTTTTCGGCAACAGTAAGAGGAAGAAAATACCCCTTCGAATTCGTTCTGCTTTACCGAAGTTCGTATTTTCGCGAAACATCTCTCTCTCGAACAAACTATCTCATATTAAGACAAAAGCAACGGTTTAAAAAGCAAGGTAGAACTCGTTTCGTTGTTTACCATCGTGCGAATTTTCATTTGAAAAGGAAACCATCGCGAATGAGGTATCGTGCAATATGGATCGAGTAATTAACTATGAATGACAAATTGAAATTTACACTATAACATTTCACTATGCTGTTCTACTGTTACATTATTACCAGCCAATATTTTATAACAATTGCAATTTAAAAAATTTACAATCGTTACAATTGTTTATATTTACTCTTGCTTCTCTCAGCAAAATGAAAACGAAAATCGACCGAAATTTATCTTCTCACGGACGAAGAAAAATCTGGTTACAGAGGGTTAATCAGCACGAGAAAAATTTTGTTTGCACAATCTCGAAATGAAGGCACGTTTCGATAGAAAATCGTATTTACGCGTTTCCAGCAAAGCGAAATTCACATTGCTCTAATTGGCATCGATAAATTACTCGATCGGTACATGGAGCGATACTCAAATTGCGGCTTCGTTATCGAAAATCAAAACGGATCCAGCCTAATTCAGCGCCGTTCCAACGATTACATCAATTTCAACTGTAATCACGAGTAATAAAGTTGCTTGTGTACTCACGTCGTATTTCTCTTGTATATGAGGACCAGCTTGAGCGATGTACAGCGTGCTGGCCGTGTCGAAAACCAATTCCAGAGGAATTCTGATCACTCTTTGCCTGGCCATTTCGTGGCAATTCAGGTACAAAGTGACGTCCGTTGTTGAGACTTTGATGACAATCTTGGACCATTTTTTCGACAACTTTGGCACCGTGAACTTTGCAACCTCTTCCGAATGCGAATGCAGATCGGAATTGGTGTAGATCAAGGACACATTCTGATTGGTGCCTGGTCCATCCTGCGGTACACAAGATTCGATATTTTACAAGATGTTCGTGTTATTACCAGCCAACAATTCTCTCGTTAATGACGAGTATACAACGAAGAAGAGAGAGGAAAAAATTTCACGATGTTTTGTAATCAACGCAATAACACATGTCAACTTTTAATATTTGCAATATTCTTCGGAAAACGAGGGTAACTTTATTTTTTAAAGGGCTACACACTATCCTCAGGCATCCAAAAATAGGTAAACTTTAGGAATCTTTTGAAAAGTTTCAATTTCTTTTAGAGGACATAAATGTAACACTTTTACTTTGCAAAAATTATAGAAAAAAGTTGAAAGTCGCGTTTATATCCTCAAAAAAAAAAAAGAATTGAAACTTTTCATTTAGTACTTATCTACGAAAAAAATTCCTAAAGTTTACCCATTTTTAGACGCTTCGCGATGGTGACCCGGTTCAAAGGCAGAGTTGCATCGAAAAAAGCAGCAGTACCGTTCTCAAGTTCTCTAAAATGATCTTTTAAGAAAATTATCTAAATGTCGTTTTCGTGCGACTCCTTGCAGAAAGTGCCACGGGATTCGAAAGTCGAGCTGGTTTCCCGCGGCTCGTGGTCTGTCGCTATCGATTCTCATGGGGATCGCGTTCTCTCTCGAAACGTCGAAAGCAACGGGGGCTGCTTCTGCTGCGGAACACGTAGACGCAGTATTACCCGTGGAAACGGTGCCGCGAGAAACGTGAAAGATCTGAAGGAAATTTGAAGACCCGGGGAGCTGCAACAACGGCCTCGAAGGGATTGGGAAACATGAGAAAATGCCCTCCATCCGCCAATGGGGAGCGCCGACTTAAAAGTCTACCGTGCCACCACAGCCCGGTTCCTTATAAATCGAGCGATTGTACTTGGAAATTTTTGCCGATTTTCCGATTGCTTTTATATTCAACTCCGACTCTTTCGTTTCCCTTCTCTTCCTTTTTTTCTCTTCTATTCCACGTTTCCGTGAAATACAATGTGTTGAAAGGAGATGAATAGGGATGCGGAGAATTTCTCGATACGAGCGTGGTTTGTTACGATTGTTGAATTCGTTGGAAACACGGCCTCAGTTTATAGTTACAATGTAGATATTGCTTCGGAGCTTATTTTCTTTGTTTCGCTGTAAAGTTACGGGGGTAAATATTTTTGTTCAAATGAATTTTAGTTATGGCAGCGTTAGTTCACGGTAGAAATGTCGGCGTAACGTAATAGAACGAGACAGAGTAAAATATTTGATCAGGTGTAATTTCCTTTCGGTACCGTGTTTCTGTGTTTCCCGCGGGGTAATAAAATGCACACGTTGTATCTCACGTACCTAAGTTGGAGCTCGAAGGAGGTATTTAAATACTGCTGTTATTTAACAAAAATTTCAGGAACGTCTGGAACCACGATTACTTAACCGCATGTGAGAAATTCTATTGACAAAATAAAGAGATTAAATCGTGGATCTTTTTAAGCGATAAATCTTTCACGGATAATTGCTCGTTAATCTTCACACTTAAATGACACGCTTCTCACACGCGGTAAATTAAAAAAGAACGAAAAGTTGATAAAAAGATGAAATGGTACTCACAGATATTCGAATGCCTAATTGCACCACCGTCTCGAAGGGGTTCAGAACGGCGAAGAGATAACCCGTCCTGGAAGACGTCGGCTTGAAAATTGCCATCAAAGTGAACTCAGCTGGCAATTTTTCCGGGAGATATAATCGATAGGGTTGTTTAACCTCGGAGCTAGGTCGGAAACCAAAAGCCGGAAATCCGTCGAGACCATCGTCGAAGTACAAATCTGTCGACGGCACCGCTGCCTGGAGTAAATCATAAACCAGCTCTGAAACATAGAGGTGCGAAGGAAAGTGGTTAGAAAGCTTTCCTCCTCGGAAAATATGAACCGAAATCGGTGAAAACTGTATTTAACATTTCAAGTGTCCGAAATGCGAGAAGTATTAAATCTAGTTTCACTTCAGTCGATCATTTACAAAGCAACGAATATGGAATATCGAGGAATGATAGGAAAGAGGAGGAGAAAACGGGCAAACGTTGTTGAAATGACCAATTGTATGGATCGGTAAAATCGTAAAAGTACCGAAATTCCAGCGAAAATCTTAGAAACTTGCGCAAAAATATCCTCGAGAATGTAGACTTTAGTTGTAGTTAGGTACAGTTCTCGATAACTGAAGTAATTGACTTACGCTACTTGTATGCTGAAAAGGTCGAGTGTCTGAGAAATGATTAAGTTATACTACTTGTGCCCTGAAAAGGTCGAGCCTCTGAGATATGATTGACTTACACTACTTGCTCCGATTCTAAAATTCTATTCCTGGAAGTCACTAAGTAGTTCGAATCAATCATAACTCAGACGCTCGAAAAATTTCGAGCGTCTCCGAGACGCCTGACTTCGCTACTCGCTCCGGTTCTCAGAAAAGTTCTCAGAACGACAAATTGAAATTCTATTCCTGGAAGTCACTAAGTAGTTCGAATCAATCATATCTCACACGCTCGAAATTTTTCGAGCGTCTGAGAAACGGCTGACGACAAATCCTCTCTTCTTTTTTTTCAATTCAAATTAAAATTTGACTTGGATAAGCTAACTTTCACACAAGCATACCAGGCGCCCCTGGTTTTTCTTTGCTTCCATTTGCTAACCTGTTCCGCAAAATTGCAAACTCCCGTAAGTAGAAGGGGGCAAAAGATACAGGGCTTCAAGAAGTAAAGTGTATAAAACACTTTCCGTTAAAGACGATTTTAGATCAACATCGCTAAAGTGGACAAGTACTTAAAAGGACGAAAAAGAAGATAGCAATCTTCAAGATAATTAGAAATTTTTTACCTGCAACTTTCTTAAGAATAATTTACCTCTTCGTAGCGCTCGACAAATTTTATTATCTTCCCGACTTCTCCGAGCATCGATAATTAATTAACACATATCCGCGAACTCTTCAAACGAACTTTCAATATTTCATAACAAACTTATATTTTCGAAAATTAAAATCATCAAAAGTAAAAAAGAAAAAATACGTATTCACGTAATGTCACGAAAATATTTTACACCGTATGCTAGATATATCCGTGCAAGTTTTGGAATTTTTAAATAGTTTCTCTCCGATTACACGTTGACCAACGGGGAAAAGCACAAATTTCGAATTATTCTAATTCTTCGAACGCTCGCCGCTCGCAGAATTCGCGAAAACTCTCGCAGAATTCGCGAAATTCATTTTCGAGAGACGTCTGAGGAGACGAGCGAAAATTCATTGTTCGTTCAACGTTTTCAGCGACAAAAATATCCTCTTTTTCTGGAGATTAAACACAATCGTAAACGCGAAACAGTTCGCCGTCGTTGTTACGCTCGGTTCATTTATGAAATACAAGTCTCGCGTTTGTACCTGCTGTTTCATGGAAATTGTTCAAACGCAGTTCGAGGAACGCGTGAAGCCACTTTACTATCGCGGCGCACCACGGATATTATTTAAACGCGATCGTTTCGCGAACCACTCGCCCCGACGAGACTATAGTTAATTAAGGACAAGCCGTTAAAAACGGTTCCGGCGTCCCAGGGAGAGGGAAAAATGCGAACCGGCGAAAAGTAGTTCAAACTCGAAGCGAGAGAACTTTAATTAATTCGGTGCGTGCAGACTCCGAGCGGTCGTGCTGCAGGATTAGCGAACGAAATCTTGATAAGGCTGCCGGCTGATACGATTCGGGGCACGAAAAATCCTGAGAAGCTAACGCCCTTGAACATCTTGTTTGGTCGAACTGATTGGAATTATTAAATAGCTTAAATTGGACGAAGCTCGAGCTGTAGTTAAACTTCGGGCTTAGAGTAAGTGAAGTTTTTGTTTTCCTTTTTTCTCTCTCTATTTTAATTGGATTTCGTGTTTTTTTTCGAGTGCCAGAGAACGAAGAGAGAAATGTTACGGATTTTGTGTTGTCTTAAAGATATCTTGTTTTGTGTATTAGATATGCTTATGAAAGAGTTCAAATTTTCAAACGCGTTTCTTCGTGTAAAGGTAATATTAATTAGCGACGTTAATTGGAAAGCCCATCTTAATGATTAAATATTGTTTAGTACCATTGTATGGTTTTTACTAGGTTTCCAACGACTGTTTCTTAAAGTTAACCCTTTCACTGCTGTTGGCGCAAATTTAATAAAAGAAATTTGAAAACGATAAATTTTTATTTGTTAATTTTGTAAAAATTTTGAAACTCTGAAACGAAAGATTTTGCTAAAATCAGCTGCAGCGGAAGGTTTAATAGAACAATTTTATATACTTTGTGAATTAATACGAGTTTACTGCGATATAAACACCTGGCAAACTTTATTAAGCGATGTTTGCACGTTAAAATTTAATTTGACGCTAAATTGAACACTAATTACTCGGGAAATAAAGTTATAATTTTTGTTCATAATCAGATACTATTATAATTCACGTATGTTCAATAATACGGAGGACGTCGTTTAAACGTATGTTATATTAATTTCGTACACTTGCCGTTAGTATGGCGTATAGTCTCGCGAGTGATGATCATAGGAGCATACTTCTTTAATATATCATGGCCCCTATTTCACGCGCCATACATCATACGGATTCGTGACACTCGATATACTACGGTTCACCACAGCTGAAAGCTCGCTTCGATAATCGATATTTACTGCCGAAATATGAGTCTGTGCAGTAAATCGCATTAAAAATTGTATGCCTAGCATCATTTCGGACGCCTGAGTGCTGCGACTTTCCTGTCTACATATACTTTGTACCTTCCTTTAAATTATTTACTTCTTTACGCATAGAAAATAACATGTTTTAAATATTAAATTAGCAATCAATTTTCCAAATATATTTTTGTATATTATTTACGATAAATTTAATACTTATAAGCATACTACAATTGGATTACGCTTAAATACCACTAAAAGTCCAAATATTGCTCGATATTATTTGTTTCTAAGCACGTTCCTTCTTGATTGTATTAGAATTGCAAATGAACAATATCACGAAGCAAATTTTCAGAAACTTGACTAAACAATTCCTACACGCGGAGTTTTGTTTCAGCACGAATTTACTATAAGAACGATTTTACACAGATACTGTTCTTTAAATAAAGACTTTTATCAGGATTGTTTCCGGAAAGATACATTTGGAAACAATTTAAAGTAGACCACTGTCTGCGTAATGCAACACGGTATTCAAAGAAAATTGTCAAGACACTTCGAAGAAATCCTCCGTTTCTTCGCAGCCATACCCGAACTGACGTACTCCCCTGATACGAACACAGCAATCTTCAGACTGCGTTCCGCCGCATTTTCCCCTTTATATTTTCTATATACGATATCTCGAAGCTACAGGGAAACGAGGTTTTTTCAATTTTCGATATGATTTCGTCCCCTTTCGAGCTGTTTCACGGATAGAAACACGCCACGAGGTCCGCGGGAAGTTCGAGAGCGAAGACTTCAACGCTTGACGTATACGATCAATGAATATATATGGAGACTTCAACGAGCGTACAAGCGATGATCGATGGAAACCTCTCGCGCCCGCATATTCTCCTAACATGGAACTTCGTTTTGCGCAGAAATGACAACAAAATCCACGTCGCCAATGGAATTAAGAGCATTACTGGCGACAGGAAACACTTAATAGGTTCTTATTGTTATTTTAATTTGTATCTAAATAACGATTTTCAGGAATTCTGAAAAATTTCTGATTAAGCGTTTGTCATTTTAATTGACGAACAGTTAAAAAGGAAAATGCCGAGAATAGTTGAAGATACGATAAAGGTTGGAATTTCTACGTTATTTAAACATATTGAAAAAAATTAAAGGGGCAAAGTGCAAATTATTTCTTTGCTTAATTAAGTTTCTCATTATTCCAACGTAAAATTCGAAACAAAATTTATTGCGCTAGCATAAATGAAGCCGAGTAAATTTAGCGAATACGAAACCTTGTTTATTTATTTTTTTATATAATGTTACTATTTCGAAAGACATTTCTTTTGTATTAATTCGTTTCAAAGATTAAAGGATTTAATATTGAATAAAATGAAAATGGAAAACATTACATAAACTGGCACAAATTGTAACATTTTAAGTATGAAAAATGAAAAATATGAAACATTCTGAAATAAGTAATTTTGACAGATCAGCTCTGTTGATTTGTGAGAAAACACCCGAATAATACGTTTCACGTGAAAACGTACCAGAAACCTCATTGTTACTATCACGGTAAAAGGAAGAAGATGGTATTTCTTTCGGAACCAATCTTCCGTTTTAGTTTCTCCCTCACGGGACAGTACAGCCCTGAGTGCATCGAAAAACCTCTTTTCCATTTATACGAATCCGCAAAGCGAATTCAATCGGCCGTTACCATACAATTCATCCGTTATACCCAGCAAATTGAGCTGTCTTTCAGTCTCCATAGTTTCATAAACACGCGAGCAAAGTGAATGGTGCAGAATGAGTACAAGAACTGTTCTAAATTTATGCAAATTTCTAAAAAGAGGGAAAAAATTGAAATAGTAGGATTCTCGTTGAAAATTACACACTGAAATAAACAGGTGTATTTTGAAGTGTAATTCGAAAGATTAAATTAATTATTTAATATTCTATTGTAAAATCAAATTTTATTACGCGTTGTAGTTTTTTGTATGAAGATTAGAATGTTTGCATTACGAGAAGGAAAAATTGTGTTGGAACTCTAACGGTGAATATTATCATTGTTAAAAAGCTCTTCAAAACTTCAGTGTACTGTTCTGTAAAAATGAAAGTTTGTTTCCAAATTGTTTCAAAAGTGTACAAGTAAAATTAATACAGAAGTTTGTACAATTTTCATCATACGCCGCAACAGTATCGTACTTTGCTTTTTAACATTTACGTTTAACAGCCAAACTTTCCAAATACCTAACAAGAAGAAATTATTTCAAACCTCACGAAAATCCATGGGTATTACAAAATCTGTTGCTACTATTAGATCGTCCCATTTCATGATTTAGATCAATATTTCCAACGAACCTTTAAATTTGTTTAAAAAAAAGCAAACACCTTCTCATTCCACAACTTTTTTCTATATTTTTGTATTTTTGGTAGGATTATTATGTCATCGCTACAGAATTTCCTTAGATTTCCGTTAAAAAATTTCTCGCCTTCGACACGAACATATGCGACGACCTAATTCCTTAAAATATGTATTTCAACTATCGACAGAAACGTCTTACACCAAATTCCTAATAACGTTCATCGCCAATTTTTATCCATCGTCACACCCCTAACTTCGCCAGGCGATCCATACAAATCCGTACAACGTCGAACAAGCGAGGGGAATAAAAAAAAAAGGTCCAAAGGAGAAGTACCGAAAGTTTCCGAAACAGGAATCCCGAACTAATAAAAAAAGCCGGTGTAATACAATAACGTTCAGTGTCGGATAAGGCGATCTCAAGATGGACCGAAAGTTCAGCGTTATCCGGTCGCGGGAACTTCTCAAAGCCTTCCAGGGCAAAGTTTTCCCCCGTAGGGAAGTCGAGGTCGTCCCGTAATTTTCACAAGAGGGATTGAACGAGGATCGATCGTGGCGCGTGATCGCCTTGCGTATCCTGTTTTACGCGCGTTTTAATTCCATCCGGCGTGGAACCATGCTCTCTATGCGCAAAGTGAACCCCCGGCCACTCGTTGTAACCCGAACACAAACGTTTACCTCCATTTCCGTGGCTATTGATTCACGCTTCGAACGTCATTTTCAGGCCTCGTGCGCGCGGGCTCGATTAAAAACTGTCGGCAATCCCATGGAGATCATCGCCATTCACCGGGTTCGAATTCCCGCACACGAAAGATTGATACGGATGATTCGCGAGAGGAATCGCATCGGAACGATCAATTTCTCCCGCGAGCAAACTGCCCAGGCGAATCGATAGTTGGGAAACAATGCATACGAAATCACCGATTGATCCTGACCGTGCTTCCCACCGAATGAAGATAAATGGAGCATCCAGTTTTAACGCGATCTCCTCCTTCGTACGGTTTTGTACATTTACATACATTCGCGCGCCCGGTAAATCGCCGGAGACTGGATTTTTTTGTAATTTAAGATCGCAGCGTTTGCTCCGTACGAAATATTTTCTTTTTCAGAAAGATTGTGAAAGAGATTTCAAGGAGCCGCGACTCGGAGTATCTCCGGTAAAACCATAACCGATGGACATTAATTTAGGCACAATTTTGATATTTGTTGTATTCACTTCTTAATTACCAAACTAGCTTTCTCTTTCTCTCATATTAGATCTCCTCTTTTACCAGGATTTCTCTAAAACCAGACACTTAATTCTTCCATCATTTCTTCTTCTTTTTTTTATTAGTTTTGTGTTAGTATGAGTTGCGACTATTAACTCAAGGCCAATTTACCAACATTCTCGTCTATGTTACTATCTACTATAATGTGTTTTAGACAATGTGTATCGTACAAGTGATTGAGAGAAAAATTTTCAAAAAATTTCTAAAGTAGAGGACGAATCCTGCATTAATAATAAAAACAGAAATATCGTAAGTGTAAATACTAATAATATTAGTTTGAAATAAAGTAGGAATGCAGTCAGGTTGCCATTTGAAAGAATAGGGTCAATCTTTGGACTGACAGACGGGACATCATCCTTCCATCACCACTTTGACCATCTTTCTATTTATTCGAGAAACGCTCTGCGACCAACAAACGATTTTCTATTATTTTCCAATTTTTGGGAAGTGTCTCCCAAAATTAACTCCGTCTCCAGCAGCTCAGATTCTTTTTCTCTTCCGAAATTCCTAACATCAATCGACAAATAACCTGTTCGAGCACTGAAACTAAGCAATAAATTTGCTTTCTGCTTTCTCAATTGTTGAAGAAACGCTAAGTTACTATGCGGACGTCAAGAGGCAACCTAAACGACCTAAGATTGAACACTCGCGAGCAATGCGTGCGGATTTTCATCCGCGCTGGAGAACGCATCACATTGAAAGACCACATGAAAATTATGTCCTGCGGGCACCCGCATCGTGCTGATAGCAGCTTTAATATTGCAACGAAGAGCTACGTTCAGAATTTTAAAATCTCTCTCGAGCTCGTCGTATTCAAAAGTAAAATTTGCGATCGAAAACGAAAGAGGGAGAAATACGAAGAAACGGAGGAAACTATCTGATGTTAATACTTATTGAGTGATTAATTTAATTTCATAATATATCGCTTTGGATGAAAACAAATTGCTAAGAAATTACATTATATACCTGTACACATTATCCGTCGAATGTAGAGGGAGAGCCACCGTTTATCACATAGAGTCGGCCAACCTCCACGTAAAAAAAAAATGTAGGGTCGATTCCACAAGTGTCAGTAAAATGTAGGGTAGGTCTATATCCACGTAAAAAGAAAAAAATGTAGGGTCGATTCCACCAGTGTCAGTAAAATGTAAGGTCGATAGCAGCAGAAAAGCTGCTAAACAATTAGCATTAAATGTAACGATAGAAATTATTGCAATAATGCGTAATGCAATTGAAAAATTGAAAGAATCAAAAGAAAAAACGCGAATTCATATCTTTCTCGATTCTAGAATATAAGAAAATTTGAATAAAATACGCGACGAGAATTGGGGAGAAGCATAAGTTAAACGCGTAAAAATATTCAATAATAAACGAACTAGGGATGAAGCTATTATTTCAATACGCGATGCACTGACTCTAGTATTTACTAAAATTCAAAAATTCTCGTATAAATTCCGAAAATAGATTATTAATTACGGTAAACTACTGAGACGGTTTAATTAAGGGTGGGCATGGTGCTGCTTTAGTTTGAAATGATTTATAAACACATAATTAACAGAGGAAAAACCGTGAAACGGCAAAACGTCAACATTCTAATTGTTATAACATGTAAACAAAACTTTAAATTTAGTGTAAACAGAAAAAATATATAATACAATTTATTTCACGGTATTGCAACAAATAAACGTTGAATCAATATTTAATTCGTATAAAAACAATTATTTAACGTAATAATTTTACCTTCACTATGGCTATTTTTAATCTACGACCACAGGTCAACCTGATTTCTAATCCTTACGAACTTTAAATTCAGTCTAAACTGAGAAAATATATAATACAATTTATTTCACGGTATTGCAACAAACAAACGTTGAATAGATTCTTAATTCGTATAGAAACATTTATTTAAAATAATAATTTCACCTTCACTATGGCTATTTTAAATTTACGACCAAGGGTCAACCTGATTTTTAATCCTCCGAACTTGATTTCACAACGAGAAAGTAATAAGATCGTTGAAACGTACTTATTTGTCAAAGAAACTTGCAAAAATGTATAAATAATAATATGTAATGTTTTAACAAATTTTTGGAAGTATAAATTAATAATAAAATTGTGAAAATTAATAAATTATACGTTATTATAACATTAATAGAATTATGACTAAACCGAAGTTCGAAGTCGAGTATTTAAAGTCTGATATTACGTGCCTAGCGAGTGCCGGTAATTGTTAAAATTTGTTTAATAATTAGTAATAGAAATTCTAATTGATTCTAATGTATACAAGTGTTACAAGAAGGCTGAGTGTGTACAGGGTGGACATAGACTAGCTAGTAGCCCCCGACCACTCTATTCACATCTCAGAACCTTCAGGTCAAAATACGCCGCGAAGTGTCTAGGGCCCAGTATAAAGGGTAAATGATTTCGCGGGACATCGGCGGGTCCTTATATACCTGCGGTACCCTCTCCCCAAAGTCATTAGCAAAATCGTCGGTTAGGTCAGGCGGGAAATTTTCGCGGGAGATTTTCGCGGGAGATTTCCGATATCGTAACACGGTATAATTTATCAATTTTCACAATTTTATTAAAAATTTATACTTCCGACAATTTGTTATAACATTGCATATAACAATTTATACGTTTTTACAATATTCTTCAATGGAAACATAGGTTTTAGCGTTCTCGTTACTTACTCGTGGTTAAATTAATTTCGTAGGGATTAAAAATCAGGTTGACCTGTGGTCGTAGATTAAAAATAACCATAGTACAGCTAAATTTATCGTGTTAAATAATTCTTCTTACACGAATGAAAAATGTATTCAACGTTTGCTTGTTACAATACCATGAAATAAATCCATGTTGCAGTGGTCAGCTGTGAGTTCTGTGAATGGTGAGTCGCATATTTCCTTTTTCTTTTCTTTTTATATTCATTATGTATTATTTCCAGTTCAGAAATTTTACCACTTTCTTCCAGAATATACACTCGTAATTTATTTATTTGCAATGAATAACCCAATTTACTGATTTTCAGAAGTTACAAAATTTCTAATTTCTTAATTTTTACTAATTTTCAGAAGTTACAAGTATTCCTTTAGCTAGAAAAATTACAAAACGAAAATATATAATTGATGCGAGAGAT